CCCCAAAACCCCAAAACCCCAAAACCCCAAAACCCCTTTTAGATTTTTAGGGATTGAGTTTAAAATTATTAAAAATGGCACAGAAATTTGAAAAGGTGATTTGAGAAATTAATTTTGTAGATTTCAGATGAGTCTATAGGGTTAAGTATAGGAGTCCCAGTAGTGAACCAAAGAAGTGATATTAATCAGCCTCCTGAATACATCTCATACACAGGCCTCAACTTCAACGTAAGAACCCCATTCTCTAGATATTCTCTAACTTTTCCCTAGGAATTCATGAAAATGAACCTGAATGCTCCAGAAAGCGTGCGTACTAAGCATACAGCAGACATTCTTGAGAACTGAGACTTGTTTAAACCCCAGCCTGAGTCGAATGTAGAGAAAATCCTGAGAAAGGCGAATAAGAGATCGTCAGATGCTTTACAGCAGGATGTTCATGAAAAGCACTGGAAAGTACAGGGGTTTTATGGTAGATTACTGCTAAGGATAACCCTCAAATTTTTAAAGCTCTTCTATTGGATCATGATGGCCCTGGAGAGGATCAAAGAATCTGACATAGGCTTGTTCAAATATCCTCCAAAGTTGCCTGAACCAATGGTTTTGACCCTTGCTAAGAAGAAACTCCGAACTCTGAAGAAGCTGATGAAATATTCTGAGGAAATCGAGAGTATCAAACGAGAAAATACCATATTAGGGTACTATAGGTATCTGTTACCCTGGCTTAAATTGAACTCTTTGCTTACTAATCTTGTGTTTGATATCCTAGCTGGAGTATGTTTCTGAGCCCTCATACTTTATTTAACAGGTGATCGGTCCTCCAACTCCAACTCGCAGGCAGAAAGCTTTATACAGTTTATCTCAAATAATTTCTTATTCTGGGTTGAGATCAATAAGCTAGAGAAACAAGTCAAATATACAATGATGTTCTTTGGGAATTTCAAGCCATTCCCACTTCTGGATCAAATCTTAGGAGAGGTTTTGATAAACTTGCTACATCTCTGGAATTTCATCATACATTTTGGGTCTGAATATAACACAACTTTCCTTGCATTTATATTTGCTCCTATCGGTTTGTTAGGTGCTTCCTTCCAAGTAGCCCTGGCTCATGATCTATTTGCACTGCTAACAAGTCATATTCATACAATGTATTCCTTCTTTGCATTTGTGTATAAGACCACTCTTCATGTGCTTCAGAATTTATTCTACATGAGCAGAGGAAGGAAATTCAATATTCTTAAAGGAAAGGTAGATGAAGCTGATTACCGGATTGAAGAACTCCTTTTTGGAGTTCTGATGATGACTGTTATAATGTTCCTCCTTCCAACCCTTTTAGTGTATTACATCCTTATGGTGTATCTCATGTGATTCGTGGTAGTTTTCCAAAGCAGTATGATAATCACCATTCAAATAATAACAAAATTTCCTTTATTTATACTAATGTGGATGCTGAGGAACAAAAGAAGCTTTCCGAAAGGATTAGAATTACATGAAAGCCCGGTAAGGTTCCTTCTTGATATTTTATAGGCTAAAGATATGAGTTTTGTTATAAAGCCACTCTACCACTCACCTTTTAGTTGCTTTTCCAAGCTTGCTTCTACTCTGATCAAGACTGTAAAGAAGTTACAGTGTCCTTCACCTGGAGTTCAAGGACAAATTCCGATCTCGTTCCTCACAGGAGATCATATTTATCCAATACTCAAGGATCTGCCGAAAGTGCAAGATGAAAGGTAAGATTCGGAGTATCGGTGCTATTTCTAGAGTGGATTAGTGAAGATAACAAGATAGTTTAAGTTTGAATCATAGTTTGCAATTTTAGAAACTTAAGAAGTATTTTAAATCCTCAATCTATTCTACTCTGTATTCATCACCTCTATTAAAAATTGTCTAATCTCTTATGTTTAGTTCTTACAAGACTCCCTACAGTTCCCAAAAACTCTCAGCATGCCTCCTCTAATCCTATCTAAAACCTCACAGGACCCCTTTTAACCTTTAAATTCAAAAATCCTTCAATTGACCATTCCTATCACGGGGTTTTGGGGTTTTGGGGTTTTGGGG